TCAACTAGCCAAAGCAAGCCTGAGAAAGAAGAACAAAGCTGAAGGTATCACGCTCCCTGATTTCAAACTATACTACAAAGCTATAGTAACCAAAACAGTATGGTACTGACATGAAACAGACACACAGATCAATGAAATAGAACAGAGAACCCAGAAATAAACCCGCCCATAGATGGTCAATCAATCTACACCAAAGGAGACACACTATAGTGTGTAAAGGACAATGTCTTCAATAAATGGTGTTGGGGAAAACCCAGCAACTACATGCACAAGAAGAAACTAGGGATGCCTGAGTGGCTCAGTTGATTGTCTGACTCTTTTTTTTTTTAAGATTTTATTTATTTATTTGACACAGAGAGAGTGAGAGGGAGAGAGAGAGAGAACATAAGCAGGGGGAGTGGCAGGCAGACAGAGGGAGAGGCAGGCTCTGTGCTGAGCAAGGAGCCCGATGTGGGACTCGATCCCAGGACCCCGGGATCATGACCTGAGCCGAAGGCAGACGCTTAACGACTGAGCCACCCAGGCGCCCTAAGCGTCTGACTCTTGATCTCAGCTCAGGTCTTGATCTCAGGGTTGTGAGTTCAAGCCCCACATCAGGCTCCATGTTGGGTGAGGAGCCTACTTTAAAAAAAAAAAAAAAAAGAATGAAACTGGACCACTATTTTACACCACATAGAAAAATAAATATGAAATGGATTAAAGACTTGAATGAAAGAGCTGAAGCCATAAAATCCTAGAAGAAAACATAGGAAGTTAGCTACTTTAAAAGATTTTTATTTATTTATTTGAGAGAGAGCAGAAGCAAGGGGAGGAGCAGAGGGAGAGAGAGAGAGAGAATCTCTCAGACTCCTCACTCAGCATGGAATCCAACAGAGGGCTCAATCTGAAGACCCTGAAATCACAACCTGAGCCAAAACCAAGATTTGGACACTCAACTGACTGAGCCACCCAGGCACCCCAGGAAGTTAGCTATTTGACATCAGTACTAGCAACATTTTTTTGGCAAGAGCAGCAAAAGCTAAAATAAACAAACAGAATTACATCAAACCAAAAAGCAAGGAAATGATGGGCGCCTGGGTGGCTCTGTTGGTTGAGCCACTGCCTTCGGCTCAGGTCATGATCCTGGAGTCCCGGGATCGAGTCCCGCATCGGGCTCCCTGCTCGGCAGGGTGTCTGCTTCTCCCTCTGACCCTCCTCCCTCTCATGCTCTCTGTCTCTCATTCTCTCTGTCTCAAATAAATAAATAAAATCTTAAAAAAAATAAAAAGCAAGGAAATGATCAACAAAATGAAAAGGCAATCTACTGAAAAGGAGAAAATATTTGCAAATCATGCATCTGATAAGGGATTAAATACCAAAATATAGGAAGAACTTACACAACTTAGTATCAAAAAAAAATAAACAACCCAATTAAAAAATGGGCAGAGGACTTCAATAAGCATTTTTCCAAAGAAGACATACAGATGGTCAACAGACACATGAAAAGATGATCACCATCACTCATCATCAGGGAAGGACAAATCAAAACCACAATGATATATCACCTCAAACCTGTCAGATTAGATATTATAAAAAAGACAAAAAATTACAAGTGTTGGCAAGGATGTAGGAAAAAACCCCTGTGCACGTTTTTTTTTAAGATTTTATTTATTTATTTGACAGAGAGAGACACAGCAAGAGAGGGAACACAAGTAGAGGGAGTGGGAGAGGGAGAAGCAGGCTTCCCGCTGCGCAGGGAGCCCAATGCGGGGCTTGATCCCAGGACGCGGGGCTCAATCCCAGGACCCTGGGATCATGACCTGAGCCAAAGGCAGATGCTTAACCACTGAGCCACCCAGGGGCCCCCCTCATGCACTTTTGGTGAGAATGTATATTGGTGCAGCAACTGTGGAAAACAGTATAGAGTTTCCTCAAAAAATTAAAAATAAAACTACCATATGATCCAGGATTTCCACTTCTGGGAATTTATCCAAAGAAAACCAAAACACCAAAGTAAAGAGATACATGCACCCCAAAGTTCACTGCAGCATTATTTACAATAGCCAATAGCCAAGATATGGAAACAACCTAAGTGTTCATTGATAGATGGATGGATAAAGAAGATGTGATAAACACACACACACACACACACACACACACACAAAGAGGAATATAACTCAGCTGAAACAAAGAATGAAATCTTGCCATTTGCAACAACATAGATGGACCTAGAGGGTATTATGCAAAGTGAAATAAGTCAGAGAAAGACAAATAAGTCAAACAGAGAAAGATAAACATCATAGAATTTCACTTGTATGTAAATCTAAAGTTATTTAAATAGTCTTAAATTTCAGGGAAAGGTGAGATACAGTAAAGTACAAAGAAGAAAATCTGCAAATGTCAGTAAACTTTCTATAAAGATCTAGGTAGTAAATGTTTTAGACTTTGCAGGCCATACAGACTCTGTTGCAACTCCTCATCTCTGCTATTGTAGTGCAGAAGTAGCCACAGGCAATCCATAAATGAGTGAGTGGCTGTGTTCCAATAAAATTATATTTACAGAAACAGGTCGTGGGCTGGACTTGGTCCACTCCATACTTTGCCAAATCCTGCTCTACTGTATTCCCACCACTGAGAATTAACCATTGTTAGATTGGGCTTATTTGCCTAGTTTTTTTTCCTATTTTTCTAAACTGAAAATATTAATCAGAGCTATTCTATAACACAGGTTAAATGACTGGTGAATTATAGAAGTACTACACATAGGGAAAAATATAGGGCAGTCATATTTAATATGAGAGATGTATGCCTGAAAACCCTGAATAATTCAAAACTAACTGTCCCATACATATAGAGGAGGGATGCATTCTCAGAATACATAAATCTACAACCAATATAGAATGCTTTTTTTTTTAAAGATTTCATTTATTTACTTGAGAGAGAGAGTATACATGAGCGGTGGGGAGGGTCAGAGGGAGAGGGACAAACAGACTCCCCGCCAAGCAGGGAACCCCAGAGGGGCTCGATCCCAGGCACCTGGGTGGCTCAGTTGGTTGAGTGTCTGCCTTCGACTCAGGTCATGATCCCAGGGTCCTAGGATCGAGCCCTACATCAGGCTCCCTGCTCCATGGGAAGCCTGCTTCTCCCTCTCCCACTCCCCCTGCTTGTGTTCCCTCTCTTGCTGTGTCTCTCTCTGTCACATAAATAAATAATAATTTTAAAAATCTTTAAAAAAAAAAAAAGTATCAAATTAGGAGAAGCTCTCTCTCCACATCATGGGGAAGGCTAGTCTGAGTCCTTGAAAGACTTCTGTTAACGAATGGATCTAACGTAGCTGGTTCTTTAATTTTTTTTTCACTGAAGATTTTTTTTTTCACTGAAGGTTTCTTGATATGCAGAAACACTGTCCGTTTTTCACCTTGCCACCATGAAACAGCAATCCACATTTGGATCATTTCCTTTAATAATAGCAATTGTTGCTGGAATATGGTCAAAAGCATATGCCAGTTACTTCACTGTTGGCTGTTGTGCTGAAGGCCCAGGCTAACTGCTGGGGCCCTGTTTTTCTAATTCTAGCAAGTCTTCCTTTATTAATCCATGGAGAACAACCCAAGCAAAATGTCAACATCCCCTTCACCAACCTTGTACAAATTCACCTTCTTTACCACTTTCACAGATTCTTTATTAGGTGTGAGGCTGTCTTCCAAGTTAAAGCCTCTTTAGATTATGGTAAAACTGAAATGTTTTTGATAGCTTCAGTTAGCAGTTATAGCTTCTTACAGCCTTGGTAGGCTTTAAAATTGGAAAGCCAGCCATGTAAACTTTTTGTCTCACTTTCCCTCCCTTTCAAATCATCAGAACACTTCAAGCTTTAGCACAGGCGATGGCTTGGCCTTAGGGGCACATTATGGCAGCACTGATCTTGCAGCTGTGTTGCCAGGATTTTTTCCCATTTATTCCATTATTTTTTCCTGGTTATAAGATATTTTCATGCGAACTAAATAATGTGCCTTCTTTAATGCTGCTTTTGTTTTTTTGAGCATTATCTCTAATATTCTGCAAGTTTCACTCTCCTAAATGAACAGCACAGGGGTTCACAGCCGAGGCCTGGCCTTCATCACAGAGCTTTATAATATCTAATTTCTGTTCCAAAGATTCTGAATTTGGGGCACACTTTTCAGCACTAGCATACACTACTTAATGAATCTGAATGATAATGTTACATGATACATAAAAATATTTTTAATTGTACCAAAAGCAAATGCTAAGAGAACAGCCAAAACAGTCACCAAAAACATCAACCCAAGATCTGATACATTAGGTTCATACGATATTGATAAAGGATGATGGGAATTTTGTTTCCTGCTAACATAAGACACAGACAACGACATAGTTTGCAATCCTTTCGGCCTGCCAGATTTGAAATTATGCATTTCTTCAAAATATTTTTTTTAATTTTGGAAAGTTTCACAATATTTCAAATTTGAGACATAAAGTGGGAATTTAAATGTATTTTTACTTTGCACTATTTTCAGCCTCACATAATTTGAAGATGCACAAAACAACACTACACTGAACTTTTTCAAGAGACTTTCTCTCTTTCTCTTTCTTTCTTTAAGTAGGCCCCACACCCAGCATGGAGCCCAACACAGGGCTTGAACCCTGAGATCAAGACCTGAGCTGAAATCAAAAGTCAGACGCTTTAACTGACTGAGCCACCCAGGTGCCCCTCAAGAGACTTTCTAGTCTTAAAGAAAAATACTTGAATGTAGTAACCAGATGGAATTAACAAGTATTTAAAGAAATTAAGGAGACAGAACACAATGAAATAAATCAGAAACGCATTCTTATTAATGATGTAACTTTAAGATCTCAAAATTAGTACATAATAGATTATTACTCTTTTTTTAAAGACTAACCTGCAAACAGAAATATATTCAGGTACATATTAAAATGCTACATCCAAAATGAAAATAAACACAAGTGGCACTATGAGGGAAAATATTAACAATAAAACTTACATCTTCGATGATCTTTGCTGCGTCTTTAGTAACTGCACCTGTAATAAATTAAAACATACATTATCCCCAGAATATACAGATGTAAACACTGAGACCAAGAAATTACTTTCCTCTTACTAAGGTGGGCCAGAGTCTAGTCCAGGATTTCACAAAAAATGGTCCAACGAAACTGGGCGTCAATATCACCTGGGATGCTTGGTAAAGGTAAAGATTCTTGGGCCTCAATCTTATCCAGCTGTATTACAATCTCCAGTGATAAAGGCAAGTATATTAAAATCGCTTAGGTTCTTAAAAAAATAAACTATACATGCCACTTCCTTCCCCACCCAGGCCAACCTACTTGCTACCCACTTCCCTCTGAGAAAAAGGGGCATGTTTCCTTATATAAATATAAATGTAAATATTAGCAACAAGAGCTACTTAGAAGACAGCACTCACCTCTACAGTCTAACCAAATGCCTTTATATCAAGTCATACCTTTTAAAACACTGCTAGTGTTCCCTGTAGGCTGGGTAGGAGATATTTTTGCCAATGACACCACACTGGTTATAACTGGTGTTGTATTTTTCCTTGCAGAAGGGAGCTCCACTGAAGCAGTTTGCGCCTTATAAATATTTACTGATTAAAATAAAAAGGTAAGACCTAGTATAAACAAAAAGGTTACACACAAAATAAACCCTGTTTAACAACTAAGTTTTCAAGGAGCAGGGCAAATATCTAACTCTGTATAAAGAGTGATTCTGGTCAATTAACATTCGATAGGACTTAAAAGACAGGCTGATTCTCTAAAATTATAAACTTCAAATGCTACTTAACAGGTAAAAATATAGGTATTAGCTTCAGAATCAACTGGGCTTTTCTATTAGTGAATATTAAAACTCCTCCATCTAAGCTTGCTTCCAATAAAAATTTAACACGATAATTTTTATAAATAAGTTGGTGAGGCACCTGTCCATCCACTGGTTTTTTGCCAACCCATATTATAAAATGAAAATTCTACCACTGACCTGACTGGTCTTAGGGAATAGATGATGACATAAAAGATTGGCACGTGGCATATGTGATTAAGGTGATGATGAATAAGACTGCAAAAGGTAGACAAGGGCCAGACTGTAAGGACAAAGCACATGGATTCTGTCAATTCAACAGCACTCCAGGCTTTGATCAGAGAGCATAATACCAAATGTTTTGAACCCAGCTCTGAGAAGTACTACTTCAAGGAACTACTATAAGAACATGCCACATATGTATCTATTCATCTGGATATTTTGCCATATTAGCTGTCCTACTTGCAAAATTATTTTATTCTTAGCCAACAAAACTTTGCTACCTATGAAGAACTGGTCTACTTTATTTTTTCTGATATAATTAATGTGTTGTTTTTTTTCCTTGGCTATAAGCAAGCTCTGGATCAAATCTTATGCCAGTCACAGAAACTATATTAACATACTTATATCCTCTCCCTTTGTTTGCCCTGATTTTCTATTTTTTTTTCTAGTTTATTAACTGAATAACATATATCTCTTAGTGGAAGTTATTTATGTATAGATAAATTCAACCAAAAGCAATCAAATCTAACTTTCTGATAAAACTAGTGCTTATCATAACATTTATTGATTCCTTGGTGTGTTTGATTATGATAGCAAAAAGCATCAGGATTAACCTTCCCTGAAGGGCAAGCTTTAAGAATTCTTACAGGAAATTTAAGGAAATCCACGCTATTTGAATCCAGTAAAATTTTGTTTTTATTACTGTCTGTGCTAATAGCATATCCTAGCACTAACATAAAGATCCTGTTAGCCAAGTTTAATTTTACCTTTATTTTGTGAAAGAGGGTCATTCATAATTTGCCGATGACAAAACTCCAAGACACAAAATAAGTTACAGAAATGCTTGATGTTTCCTCGCCATTTTATGGACTCACTTAGCTTACCCTGTCGTTTACAGCCATCGCACTTGGCCATCTGAGAAAGAAATGTAAGGTAGGATAGGCTTAAAACCACAAAATAATGAAAAGATAGCATTAGTCATAAAACCAGAAGGCACTAAGAAAACAGGATGTATAAGTCAGGTGTGATCACAAAATATAGGGTTTAAAATAATGTGGTTAAAAATAGATATACTTAATTATTTGTTTCCACATAAATGCCCTCAATATATAGAATATAAAAATTGATCTCCCATTTTCAAAATTACTGATGAAGGAATTTAGAGGTAGGTTCTACTTTTAAGAGGTTAAGCAGCAGCATAATGTAGTAGAAAGAATATGGACTTTGGAGTTGTAAAGACACTGATTCATTCAAAAAATATTTAATCAGGTATCCTTTGTCTTGAGCACTGAGATAGATTCCTGGTCATATAGTTGTGATAAAGACATACTTCTCCATGAAGAAGATTATATTTTAGGGGGTAGGTAGGCAAAAAAACCAGATGGTTTCACTCAAGTATTATAGGTGCTGTCTAGCTATCACCTACCAGCTTCTTGAAGGTTATATTACGTATCTTCCTTGGATCTTGCTCTTTTACCTTATTTATAAACTGGTAGTAATATACCTACCTCCAAGGACCATAGTGAGGATTAAATAAAACAACACTTATGAAACACTAGGTGTGTATTAGTGGTTCAATTAATTGTAGCTTTCACAGTTAGCCTTTCAAAAGGTAATTTTTTTAAAAGGTAGTGGGTAAGGACGTCAGTCATAGTCATTTGACCTATTAAGTGAGAACAAGGTCTGACTTCCAATTCATCACAGCAACCTTCTGAATGAGAGAGCCACTTAACGCAACATAACGACATAAGGTTCTAACTTAAGAGAACTCAGTTATAAATAAGGTCAATATGCCTCAAGAGAAAGCGAAATATAAAAATAAAAGGAATATATGTTCAAACAACAACAAAGTCTCCAGAAATCCTATACTCTTCACCCCCAAAATTTCATATTTATATTCAGTTGAATTTTGCTTTAGGAGCCCATAATTTATTTTAACCCAGTTCTAAACAGTAAATTTTACTTCACATGATCCAAACATATTTTAAGAAAATAATTTCTACTAACTTCAGAAAGCCAAAAAGGTATGTTACATTTACCTGATAAAACAAAACTGTAAATTTGGACATGCAATCTTCACAACAAAACTCTTCTAACTTGCCCTCCAGTCGATTTTCTACCAAATTAGGGGATGTCTGTGAGCAATAACTGCACATCTTACAGTAATTTCCCCATCGTTCTCCAAAGTCACGGGCAGAGAGGAATTTGCAAACTGAGAACCAGAAGGGATGAAAGGAAGAAACATCAAACTTATATTAACCTGAAGGAGATAAAATGAGTTTCCACAGTCTCAGGTACCAGCTAAGCTAATTTCTACATACTTGACACAATTACTTGCTTCTAGGATAGGAGCAAGGATAGTCTCTATATTCACAAAACAAACTCGTATCACCTTTTACATATACTCTAAATATTAGGCCATCTATATTCAGAAACATCACAGATATAAAAGTTTCTTAAGCCAAGAAGCAGTAATTGCTTAAGTACCCTCTTTACAAGTGGGTGCAAGAACAGAAAGATCTCTCAAGTCATTGCTAAACTTATGATTTTTTACACTCTATACTAATATCATTGACCTAATTATCTTTCAAAAGTCTTTTTTGAGCTTTAAAGCAATTTATTTAAGATTACTGTAATTTAAAACATCACCACAAGCCAATCATGATCACAAATATATTACAATATTTAAAATCTTTTTCAGGGCGCCTGGGTGGCGCAGTCAGTTGAGCATCCAACTCTTGGTTTCAGCTCAGGTCGTGCTCTCAGGGTCTTGGGATCGAGCCCCACATCAGGCTCTGTGCCCAGCATGCAGTCTGCTTAAGACTCTCTTTTCCTCTGCCCCTCCCTGCTGTGTGCTTTCTCTAAAATAAATAAATCTTTAAAAAAATTTTTTTCAAGTTTTTCTTTATTGAGATTATAGTTAACATTTAGAAGTATAGACGTTAAAGTGACTTAAGTATAAAAACAGTGAATTAAGCATCAACTCAAGAAAAATCCTCAAATTATACCTCATAAAACAAAATTACTTGAAAATTATAGATTAATGGCTCAACTCAGCGTGAATTACTTTATAACAACAACATGCTCTGTGGATAAAACTGAACTGGCTTGCTTTCTTTACCTTCACTACAGAATGGCTTATCAACCCCTGAGAATCGGACAGTCTCCTTTATAATTTTCTGCAATTTACAGTAGTCACACATTGCCATAACTTTATGTTTCTTTTTGTATTCATCAGAGCAAGTCTTGCCACAAAACAGAAACATTTTACCCTGCAGAGAGAAAAAAAAAATAGTCATTAAGACCTAATTAAACAGTGGCTTTATCTTTAAGAAATCATTCTCCTCATTTCAAAGCAAATTAAGTGACTGTCGAAGATGAAAAGACAAATGCTTCTGATGGATACATTTATATTCCATCCCTTTCATGATTTCTCTTTACCTTGTAGAAAAGGAGTTCTGGTTTTGTGGCAAACAGATGGCTACAGTGTTGACACTTGAGTTTAACAAGTGTCTGAGCTACAGCAACTTGGGATGGGGCAGCAAGAGGCTGGAAACTGGCTGTGGCAGAGGCAGAGCTGCTGATGGAGCCGGTGGGACCGGAACCGGAACCGGCAGAGGCGTTACTTCCTGCAGCTGACACTGCTGACCCAGACGGTGGGCTTACAACCACTTGGCCCTGAGATGGGGGTGCCGCTGAAGAGTTTGTTCCTTTGGGCTTGTTAAATACATTCTGGAAGAACACAAATAAGGCAAAGATTTGCAACTAAGAAATAACATGACTTGGGTAATTTTCGTTTTCTTGTTTTAATAAATTAATGCCCCCACAAATATTTCCTTAACACTTTATAAAGTATTTCACAGGAAGAGTTTAAATGGCATACTTCCAGAATAGAAGGACTGAGAAATGCAACATTATAAGGTTAAGGACTGGAATTAGGGCTTCCCAGACACTTCTAATACAGGGCTCTAATAAACTAAAGCAGACCCCTTCTTTCCCTCAAAATACCCCTCCACTGGCACGCCCATCACCAACTAGCCTCTGATGGCCATGAAGAGCATGGTGGCCACCAGTGGTCTCTTTTGCCCTGGTGCCAGGGACATTTTATCAGGCATCTTGCCATCCCAGAGGGTCACTAAACTCTACTTGCTCCGTCTGTCTCAGAGAGTGAGGAACAAATGGGACAAGTAAATGGAGGCTTACAATTTCATGCCAGGAGTCATTACATTTGGCCCAGGATGAGAGGAAGGGACACATGAGGACTTATCTGAACCATATCTTAAGTTTCCATCCTTTTGAAAGGGAGAGAACCAAAGGCAAAAGTGGGAGGGAAGGGTAGTTTATGTAGGGACCCTGAATAGGGAAGACGGCACTGAGGCTCAATACCTGGCTGAGACATTTTGCAGAAATGACTTCGGGGACCAGAGTTGAACAGAATTTTTTTCTTTCTAACTTAAATTTAATCTTTTGTAAATATAGACCTTCGGCAGTTAACATATTGCCATAGACCAATGCCTAAAAGAACCTCAGGGGTAAAATACTACCTTAGATCATACCTGGAAAGCCACCACACAATTGGAGCTGCAGAAGCTGTATATGGTTCCATTGGACATGGCTAGGTGATACTGAGGGATTGCTGAGGTTTTACAACTATGACATGAAACCTGGACACCTTGGTAAGAAAAAATAAAAACCAATGAATAAGCTACATAGATGAACAAATGATCCAAAAGTGTATTAGAAGGATTAAAAAATAGTAATATACAAAACTAAAATCAAGGAACTTTACAATAATCTGTGCTAACTGCAACTAATCGCAGTGAAGTCCTACTTACACAAAAATTTAGAACTTACAAGTGATTTTTTTTTTTTTGGTCTTTCTTTTCACACAGAAACTACAAAATAAATACCTCAACCAAGAAAATCAGTGAAAAACTATTTTCACTTAAAAATGAGTTCTCGGAAACTAAATCTTGGGTCTCAGTTTAACCACATAGATAAATTCAGTTTGTAACAAAATGAAAGAAAAGCAGCTACACTGAATAGTTACTAAATCTATAAATTTATCGAATTTAAACATTACCTGAAGAAATAACTGTCTTAACTCTGTAAGCAGATAAGCAATTAATAGAGCAGAAAAGCTCAGTTTTTCCTGAGTCATTGGTAGTCTCAATCATTTCAGCTGAGGGCCTCAATGATTTCCCCAAGGCATATGGAGGAGTTTGGGCTGAATTCTATCAAGAAAATAAAATAACATTTAGATACCTAGCACAAACATACAAGTTGTATAAGAAAAGAAAAAAGAAAACCTACCTACAAAGACTGCCTTTGGCTGAAATATTTGAACATGATTATGAGGCCACTCTATAGATTTTTCTCGAAGTTGGGATGTGGGAAAAATAAGTTCTTTCAGACAATAATAAAATGAAACTGAAGAAAATTAGTAACTACTCATGTATATTAACAACAAAACACATTAAAGGTAATTAATTTGGTATTTGTAATGCACTTTTTTCAGTACAAATAATCAAGAATGACCAGGTAATCCATGAACCAAAGGGCCATCCTCACCAGATCTTGGACATCAATCTAGAAGATCATCTACCACCTTTAAGATTACTTAACCAGTTAAGACTCTTTAGCAGGAGGAAACAGAGATGATGTTCAATGTATATTAAGAGATCTTACAGAACTACCTGTTTTTCAAGCTCAGTTCACAATAAAATCTGCCTGTAACTTTACTCATGTTTTAAGAAACAATAATAATAATGGCTACCATTTACATAAATTACCAATATTATTATTTATTCGGTGCTTGCCATGAGCTAGGCCCTATGCTAAATAACTTATATACTGTATCAAAGAATCCTTTCAACAACATAGTGAGATACTTTAAGAAATTATATTAACAAAAAGGTTAAATTAATTTTAATTCAATTAACAAATAAACAGAAAAGTGGGAGATCAAACATTTCATCTCACTCCAAAGTTCCAGACACTACCCTATACTGTCACTGACACAACATAAAGTCTCTAAATGAGAAGTTATATGGGGTAGGTATTTATCCCAAAGATACAAATGTAGTTATCCGAAGGGGCACCTGCACCCCAATGTTTATAGCAGCAATGTTCACAACAGCCAAACTATGGAAAGAGCCCAGATGTCCACTGACAGATGAATGGATAAAGAAGATGTGGTGTGTGTATATGTATATATGTGTATATATATATATATAATGGAATACTACTCAGCCATCAAAATCAAATCTTGGGGCACCTGGGTGGCTCAGTTGTTAAGCGTCTGCCTTCGGCTCAGGTCATGATCCCAGGGTCCTGGGATCGAGTCCCACATCGGGCTCCCGACTCGGTGGAAAGCCTGCTTCTCCCTCTCCCACTCCCCCTGCTCATGTTCCTGCTCTCGCTATCTCTCTCTCTGTCAAATAAATAAATAAAATCTTTAAAAAAAAAAAAAGCTTGCTATTTGCAACGACATGGATGGACCTAGAGAGTATTATGCTAAGTGAAATAAGTCAATCAGAGAAAGACAATTATTATATAATCTCACTCATACATGGAAGTTAAGAAACAAAACAGAGGATCACAGGGGAAGGGAGGGAAAAATAAAACAAGACAAAATCAGAGAGGGAAACAAACATAAGAGACTCTTAATCATAAGAAACAAACTGAGGGTTGGGGTGCTTGGGTGACTCAGTTGTTAAGCATCTGCCTTCAGCTCAGGTCATGATCCCAGAGTCCTGGGATGAGCCCTGCATCTGGCTCCCGGCTCAGTGGGAAGCCTGCTTCTCCCTCTCCCACTCCCCCTGCTTGCGTTCCCTCTCTCGCTGTGTCTCTGGTCAAATAAATAAAATCTTAAAAAAAAAAAAAAAAAAAAAACTTGAGGGTTGCTGGAGGGGAGGTGGTTAGGGGAATGGGGTAACTGGGTGATGGACATTAAGGAGGGAACATGATGTAATGAGCACTGGGTATTATATAAGACTGATAAATCACTGAACTCTACCTCTGAAACTATAATACACTATATGTTAATGAATTGAATTTAAATTAAAAAAAGAAGGGCCTCTGACCCTCCCCCCTCTCATGTGCTCGCTCTCTCTCATTCTCTCTCAAATAAGTAAGTAAAATCTTTAAAAAAAAAAAAAGATTTTATTTATTTCAGAGAGAGAGAGTATGTGCACAAGTTGGGGAGACAGGCCAAGGGAGAGGGAGAAGCAGATTCCCTGCTGAGCAGGGAGCCTGATGTGGGGCTCGATCTCAGAACCCTAAGATCATGACCTGAGCCAAAGGCAGACGCTTAACCAACTGAGCCACCCAGGCGCCCCAGAAAATACATTTTCTAAAAGGAAAAAGATATGCTTTAGATCCACTGATTTTTATCATCTATAACTGGTCATAGTTTATTTATATGGGGCTATCTTCACTTATCACTATATCACAAAATATTTCAGAGTCCTCGCAAAACATGAAATCCCATTTGTGAATTCCTGACCACCTGTATCATCTCACTACCACAATCAACACTTACACCACCAGAATCTATCCCACTTTTCTGCATGGGAACTCATACACCAAGATCAACTGATCTTGTTTATTTTGCATTTCATCCCTGCAGGGCCACCCTGGAAGGAGCGAGCCTAACTATGTGTGACAGACAGATCTTCATACCTGCTTATACGCTGTGACACTTGTTGAACTAAAAACCTTCTGGGACTGGCACGGGCCAGAGCTACTATAGCAGTAGCTTCCACAGTTCTCGCAACAGTTCATGGTGAGGTTGTTGGCGGAGTGAAATTTTGAAAAACAGGCATCACTACAAAGACCATGCACCACATTTTGATACTTAACTTCAAATCGAATCTAGGAAATAAAAACACATACACATCCAAAATCAGCAAAGCCAATCAAAAATCTCAGATCTTTGCACAGAATCCCAAAAAAGGTACAACGTGACTTACGTCGGCATTCTTCTGACACATACTGCACTTGGTTGAAATGCTATTGGTATATATGGTGACAACAGGTTTTTTCTTTAGCTCATAAGAAGAAAGACATGATTGGCTGCAGAAATCTTTGCTAGGAGAAGAATTTTCAAATCGGGTTGTGATCACATCTTTTGGATTTAAAATGTCTCTAAAAATAAATAACAAAGGCAAAATGAAATGTGTACTTTGTAACTGTAATTTCTTACACACTGTGAGCTAAAATAACTACATTTACTAAGGGCAGCTACTGCATAGGAGAAAACAGCTGGCCTGGAATAAGGCGTCTGCAACCCTGAGTTTGAGGACTAGTTCTGTTACTTAGCTGAGTAACAATGACTGAAGTAATTACTCTCAATTTTTTGTGTCTAACATGGGTTTATGATACCTAATTTATGGATGTGTTGAGGGCAAATTATATTTAAAATATATCCAGCTAGATGTTCATGACAAAAACAGTGAGGCTTCCAGCTCCAACCAAGTTTCATCCACTGGAGCCAATGGAACAAGTAGCCATCCCAAAATTCCAGACCACAAAACACTTGTCCTCTTACTAGCCAGCAGCTGCCAAGAGTAGAAACATGAGTGAGACAAGGAATGACATGTTTTGGGTTTTTTTAATTGAAATGCAAGATTTGGGAAAGAGATGAACTACCAAAGATTAATATAAAAAATCAGCATGATATATAAAACTTAACTATAAAGGAAGAGAGTAAGGGAACAAATAAAAGAACTATTAAGGTTTAGTAGCAGAGGACAGATGGAATTAAGAATAAGACAGAAAGAACACAAATAATCAAGCCGTTCTGTAAAACTCAAGTTATTTTGTAAGACCTCATTGCTATAATAAGCACTGACAGTAAAAACAAAGACTAAGTATTGCCATTTTTCTGATCAGTGTAAAAAACTAAAGGAAATGGTCATTAGAAGCACTAGTAGAGGCCACAAAGAATATAATGGCAATAATATTATATATAGTAATGTGTACTGAGTAATTAGTATGTACCAGACATTGTTCTCTTTATTCAAATTACCCAACTTAATTATCAAAAAAATTCTGTGAGGTAAGTATTATTATAATTGTCCCTTTACAGATGAGACCAAATCAGAAAGGTTAAATAGTTTGTCAAGGTCACACAGCTGGTAAGCAGTGAAGCCAGAATACAAACTCTAGGCAGTGTGATTCCACAGTCCATGGAGTTAATCATTCCACTATTCTGCCTCCCATCCTGTGCCTTTATTATACAGAACTGTTCCATGGTAAACTATCAAAGAATAACAATAACAACAAAGTACTGTAATTTTCTAAAACTCACCTAACCTTAAAAATAGGACAGTGAATCTTGGAAACCAAGTGGATATGCTTACACACGGATGAAGTTATTAATTTTGAAAAGTGATTTTTCTACTAAAAACAAAGCAATAAAGAATGTTATTTAATAATGTGAATATGCCAGTGGTATAATATACACATACGTAAACCAATGAGAATGATTTTTTAATGGAAATCTGTGCACATAAATATAAATGCATTCTAAATCTTATGCATCCAAATGAAACTTATACCTTAACATTTATCTTAAAAAAAACCATACACCTTCCAAAAACATGGCTCCAACATTCTTCTAATTTCTTTTATTTACAAGAACTCTAAGAACAACTTTTCAGTGTTATAGTCAAATATCATGTTTAAGAGTTATGACTCAGTTGAATTCGTCTACGATAGTCAACTGATAAAGGCATCAAGCAACTTTTTGGCACTTTGCAAAAACCATGGTATAAAGATAGATTTGTCATCTAACTTGGTCTAAAGGATGTTTCATAGGCTCTGAATGCAATGCCAAATCAAGAGATCAAAACAAAATTTTGAATAAGAGCAGCACTGTGGTAAAATGTCTCTGACAAGAGCGACTATTTTTAAGAGAATAATATGCATTTGGATGTATAAGTTGTGCTTTGTTCTTTAAAATTTAATTCATTTTGGTATCTGATATGTTGAAACAGAGTATATAGAAACAGAAAACTAAATTTACCCTTCCAAATCAGTTTCATGAGAATGTATAGAAGAGTTTAAGTAAGGTATTAGAAGGACATTTTAGAACAATATTAATTTGAATATTTATGTAAAATATTTTTAAATTCCTCTTTCTTTTTAGTTGGAGATTTCCATTTTAACAGGATCTACTTTTAGATACGTAAGGCCAACACCCAGGCAGATAAAGACACTGTCATCTATCTCCAAAGAAAAAATAGGAGCCTATAAATTCTATCTTAATACACATAATAATAATTTTATTATTAAAAATAATAGGATCCCACTTATTAAGCATTTGCTATGTGCCAAGCCCTGGGCTAACACTGTTTCATTAAAATCTGAGTAAGTAGATACTATTTACTAACAAAGAAATGGAGACTTAGGAAAGTTAAAAATCTAGACCCAACGTCATATAGCTAGTAAGGGATTAGAGCCATGATCTAAACCAAGCTCTTAACTTTTTTCACTCTACATTAATGACTACTGACAATACAATGTGTTCCTAGAACTACACTACCACAGGAATAGGCAGAACATGCCAAATTTTTCAAACATACTAATGTAGAGAAAGAAGTTTATGTGGCTTTGTTGCTATTTCTTCCTTTCTCTGCACCTATGTGTGACTTTAAAGCAACAATAACCTCCAACAAAAACTTACAAGGATGTTTTAGAAATAAACACATTACTTTTGTAACCATTTAGAGTTTTTTATCTTCTAAAGAATTAAATAACTTATATAATAAAACTGTTACTGTATTCTATACTTCAATAACTTTCAAGATAAATAGTTGTGAATGGTTGCTATCTACAATTACAGAATAAATGAGTGGTCCTACAATTTCCACAACTGGTTTATTTCTTTTCACGGTAAAATTTAAGCTTAAAGAGACAGAAAGCTGGTTTAGATGACACTTATAAAACCAAGTCTCTTATCTAATGTTACAAAACTTGAAAATTTGCAAATTTCTCAATCAGCTAAATATTTCCATAGAAACATGCTAAAGAGATTTAAAGTAGCAATCGCATCTTTGGTTCTTTTGGTTTTTTTTAACAATAGCATATGTGAGCTAAATTATATACACACTAAAAAAGAAAAGTAAAAAGGGATGTAATTAAAAATTTTATACTTTGAACAGTTTGTGCAGGTTTTCTTGGGAAGAGGTGGCACGCAGACAGGTGAAGAATATCCAGTGATGCACCGCGTGGAGCAGAAAAGCTGAGTAGATCCTGTCTTATGATATGCAGTTTGGCCTTTATAAAGCATTTTTTTACAACCAGAACAAAAAACCTGAATAGCTATGGCTGGAACCGAAGGAAGCAGTATGTTTGGGCCAGATGATGCAAGAGAAAACTGAAAGCCTGGGGTCAACTGTTGGGCTATAAATACAAAATAAGGGAGGGGGGGAAACAGTTTCAGTATCGACACAAACAAATATACATTCTCCATTTTTTAGGACAAATTCTCAGTCTTGAAATCCAATATTAATGAGGCAATAAATACTCTAAAACAGGGGTTTTCAAACTTTTTTAACCATAACCCATAGTAAGAACTATATTTCACATTATAACTCAGAAGACATATATTTTTGTATGTGTGTAAAATTTAATAATTGAAACAGTAGTTTCATGAAATCATGTTTCTTTACATGCATCACACTTTAATATAATCTTAATTCTATTCCCACTTTTTATTTCTTCATACATATATATATTTTTTTTATTTTTATTTTTATTAAGATTTTGTTTAAGTAATCTCTACACCCAACATGGGGCTCAAACTCACAACCCTGAGGATCAGGGTCACACACCCCACCAACTGAGCAGCCAAGCGCCCCTCTATTCCACTTTTTAAAATGCTAGTCAAGACCAGCTACCCAGTTCAAAAAGTACTGCTTTATCTTAAGGGAAAAAAAACTTACATGAGGAGGCACTTTCCCTCAATTCTACTAGCCAGAATATAACAATATTAATCATAATTAACTTATACAGTTCTATTTCTTACCAAGAGGACTGTCACCGACTGAAAACACAGCACTGATTTTCAGTTCACTTTCTTGAGTTTTTGGCTTTGGGGCATGTCCGTACTCCTTCAAGAAAAAAAAGAGAGAGAAATGAACACAGTGTTAGTATCTAAATAAACTAGAAATTCAAGCAAAAAATAATACTGTCATATCTCTTCTACATTCTAATCATAATCACCTTCACAAATACCTCAAAAGTCAAAATTTCTAAATTGTCAGACTAGATTTAATCTTTACAAAAAGGACCTTTTCCAGTTGTAACTACTTTTCAAATGTAATCTCATACATAGGAGCCATACATAGCTATTTCAATGTTGAGCACTACCCTTTTTTTAGGCTGTGTTTATAAGGAAACAAAAAATAAAATTAAATCTGAATGATTTAGAGATTGGATCCAATTAGTAATTTTAGCCAACAGACTTACAAACTGTCATATCTGTTAATGGCAGAAAAGACACAAGAGTTTCAATGCAATCTGTTCATTATACATAGAATCATCACAGCCTAAATCAGATTTATCCTAATTATACATTCTTTAAAATGCTTTAAGATAAAATATAATCATAAAACAAAATTTTAAAAATACATATATGTATTTTGAAAAAGACTGTTCTTTATTCTGAGATCACAACCATCCTACTTTTTTTTTTTTTTTGGTGTTAAAATACATATTTCAGGGGCGCCTGGGTGGCTCAGTCATTAAGTGTCTGCCTTCGGCTCAGGTCATGATCCCAGGGTCCTGGGATCGAGCCCCACATCGGGCTCCCTGCTCAACGGGAAGCCTGCTTCTACCTTTCCCACTCTCCCTGCTTGTGTTCCCTCTCTCGCTATATCTCTATCAAATAAATAAGTAAAATCTTTTAAAAAAAAATTTTAAATACATATTTCAAAATAAAAAGTTAAAAAAGTAGTCTTCTTTTCTGAAACAATGGTGATAATAAACACTAGTTGTATTTTTAATACCCCTATACTTAGCAAAATAAATGATAGGTCAGCTCCCAAAGTTACTTTTGAAATTGCTTTGGACTATTACATGCCACAAAGACTAGGTACCACTGCATTAATTTACCACTTCCCATAGTGTACATTATGGCACCAAATGAGCTGCTGCCAATCAGGCAGGAACAATGATATCTTCTTTATAGACGAGGAAAGTGAAGCTTAGAGATAGATGGTTCAGCAGTTTGTCCAAGGTCACAGAGACATTAAGTGCACAGATGGGAATCAAACCCAGGTCTCTGTTCCAAAACCCGTGCTATCTCCCTCACAGATGTATAAATACAATATTAAAAAAATTACTATAGGGGCGCCTGGGTGGCGCAGTCAGTTAAGCACCGACTGTTGGTTTCAGCTCAGGTCCTGATCTCAGGGTCATGATATCAAGCCCCGCATTGGGTTGCACTCAGTAGGAAGTCTGCTTAGGACTCTCTCCCTTTCCCCCCGCCCCTCTTCTCACTCCCCACCTCCCACATGCACTGTCTCTCTCTTTCATTAATAAACAAATCTTTTTTAAAAATTACTATAATGGGGATGTCTGGGTGGCTCAGGCAGTTAAGCATCTGCCTTCAGCTCAGGTCATGATCCCAGGGTCCTGGGATAGAGTCCCACATTGGGCTCCTTGCTTAGCAGGGAACCTGCTTCTCCCTCTGTCTGCTGCTCCCCCTGCTTGTGCTCTCTCTCTCTGACAAACAAATAAAATCTTTAAAAAAATAAAATAAGATAAAGTAAGATAAGATAATAAAAAATTACTACAATGAATTTAAACCCTGGCCCCCACTGAAAAAGAAGTTCCCCTGCTATAGTCTCCCATTTCCTTTCACTCATAGCACCTGTCACAATACATCATTTCCTATTTATGTGGGTGATAATTTGTTATGTCTAACACCCTTCTTCTTTCCCCCATACGCACAAGACTGAAAGGACCATGCCCATTAAGGACAGGGACCATATCTGTTTTCCCATCTCAGCACAGTCAACATAACCTAACAGAGAAGGTTATGGGTTCTGACAGCAGGCAGAAACATGTGATCTTGGCTCAAACAAGTTATTTAATCTCTTCTAGTTCCAATTTCCTTATCTATAAAATATATTATCTAATCCTTAGGGCCATTATGGGGGGATAAATGATTTAATACAAATGCAGTTTGTAGCATGATACCTTACAGATAAACCAAAAGTTAAGCATGACTTACACACAAAAATTCTAGCTTTTATTATTTTCATAATTATGGCATTAAATAAATATTCGTTGAATGAATCCAAGTGGATGGTCTTAAACATTATACTTGAATAACAATGTTTATTTATTGGAACTTGCAAAGAGGAAGTTAAAAGTATCTATACCCTCCTTCAATTTACCAAAAAGAATCAATATAAAGCTACTTTGCCTTATCATCAACTCAATCTCTGATATTTTTCTAATATGCCTGTTAAATGTCCCTTTTGATTCACAAACTGTTCCAAACCTTCACCACTAATAAATCAACCCTACAAATTTCCTGCTCCCTGATGTTTCAATTGTACCAAGAAAAAAAAGAAACAACTAAGAACTCCCTCAACACCCTGATTCCCTCCCTCCACCATGCCTACAAATTGATCAACAAACTCTCCTCCTATCTTACAGGAAAAAGCAATCTTCTTTTTTTTTTTTTTTTTAAAGATTTTATTTATTTATTTGACAGAGAGAGACACAGCGAGAGAGGGAACACAAGCAGGGGGAGGGGGAGAGGGAGAAGCAGGCCTCCTGCAGAGCAGGGAGCCCGATGTGGGACTCGATCCCAGGACCCTGGGATCACGACCTGAGCCGAAGGCAGACGCTTAACAACTGAGCCACCCAGGCGCCCCGAAAAAGCAATCTTCTTAACCATGACTAAAAACAGTGCTTGCGTTTGGGATCCCTCTCCCTCCCCCTTCTTTCAGCACTCCATGCCACCGACATGTATCTTCAGCCTCTCACCACCTCCATGTTGGTTTTTTCCTCTCAACTTACGAGGAACCTATTTCCTAAGGAACTACTACCCTCTTCTCTCTCCTTCCAACCAGCCAGAGAAAAAGCACCTCATTATTTCTCTCCTTCCTTACTGATTCCCTCCTGAACCCAATGCTGTCAGGCTACTGCTTCAACTGAAACTGGTTTTTTTTTTAATTCATTATTTATTTATTATTTATTTATTTATTTATTATTTATTATTATTTATTTATTTATAATCTCTACCCCCAACATGGGGCTCAAGCTCACGACCCTAAAATCAAGAGTCGCATGCTCTTCCAACTGAGCCAGCCAGACACCCCCAATTGAAACTGTTTTAAGATTAACCAATCATCTTGCAGCTGCTTAACCCAATAAACATTTTTTTTTTTTAGGTTTTATCTTACATGGCTTCTGAGATACATCTGATACGGCCAATGATTCCACTTCATTGTCTTCTGTTACTTCAATTATTACTATGTCTTAGTATTTTTCATTGATCTTATATTCAGCCCTAAAGTCAATGGTTCCCAAATTCAGTGGTATCAGAAGCCCCTATATGTCTTAAGACATAGATTGTTGAGCGCCTGGGTGGCTCAAGTTAAGCGTCTGCCTTCAGCTCAGGTCATGATCCCAGGGTCCTGGGATGGAGTCCCACATCGGGCTCCTTGCTCACCAGGGAGTCTGCTTCTCCCTCTACCCCTCCCCCCTGCTGTGACCTCTCTCTTTCTCTCTCTCAACACTCTCTCTCTCAAATAAATAAATTAAATCTTTAAAAAAAAAAAAAAAAGACATAGATTGTTGGGTTTCAACCCCAGCATTTCTAACTCAGTAGATCTGGAACAGGGTCCAAGACTATAAATTTCTAACAAGTTTCCAGGTAATGCTGAGGCGGCTGATTGAGGGGACTACTTTGAAACCCTAAATTAATCTGTTTCCCAGCTTTCTATCCTGAGCTCTTCTCTCCTCTACTTTTGTTCCCTGAATGAACTCATCCACATTCATAATTTCAACTATCACCTATATAGGACTACCAGATTTAGCAAATAAAAATATAAAAGCCTGGTTAAATATGAATTTCAGATAAACAACAAATACTTTTTTAGTATAAGTATGTCCCAAGTATTGCATATAACATACTTATATTAAAAAATAATCACTGTTGGGGGCGCCTGGGTGGCTCAGTCGTTAAGCGTCTGCCTTCAGCTCAGGTCGTGATCCCAGGGTCCTGGGACCGAGCCCTGCATCGGGCTCCCTGCTCCGCGGGAACCCTGCTTCTCCCTTTCCCACTCCCCCTGCTTGTGTTCTGCTCTCGCTATCTCTCTGTCAAATAAATAAATAAAATCTTAAAAATAAATAAATAAATAAATAATCACTGCTGGGGTGCCTGGGTGGTGCAGTCGGTTAAGCCTCTGACTCTCAGTTTCTGCTCAGGTCGTGATCTTGGGGTTGTGAGATCAAGCCCCGTGTTGGGCTCTTCACTCAGTGCGGAGTCCGCTTGGGACTCTCTCTCCCTCTGCTCCTCCCCCAAGCTCCCATTGTTTCTCTTTCTCTCTCAAATAAATAAATAAATAAATCTTAAAAAAAAAATCACTGTTGGGGCGCCTGGGTGGCTCAGTCCTTAAGCGTCTGCCAGGGTCCTGGGATCAAGCCCCGAGTCAGGCTCTCTGCTTGGCAGGGAGCCTGCCTCTCCCTCTCCCACTCCCCCTGCTTGTGTTCCCTCTCTTGCTGTCTCTCTCTCTCTGTCAAATAAATAAATAAAATCTTTTAAAAAAAAAATCACTGTTAACTTAATAGTCAAATCTACCTGGACATTCTGTATTTTATCTGACAACACTACACCTACAGGTAGATAACTTTCAAATCTTTAAATACCATATCCATATATGCAAATGCCTCCCAACTGAATGTCCCACTAGCCCCTTAAACACAACAGATCCCAAACTGCACTTATTTCCCCCCAAATCCTGTTCCTTGCCTCTCAGTAAATAGTATCAAAAACTCAACTTACTGAGGACAGAAACTTCTAAGTATTCTGGAACTCCTCCTTGACCCATGTAACTCATACGCTATCTTTAAGTTTGATCAGCACTACCCAAGTATTTTAAATCTATCCTCTTTTTTTCTCTTCCTTGTTGTTGAAATACTCAACCACTAAACATACCACATTCTTTCACCTCTCCATGACTTGGCCCATACTATCTTCTCTGCCTGAAAACATTAACTGTCACAATTCAAGTGCTGCCTGCCCCATGAAGCCTTCCTTTCCTCTTCAGGCAAACTTAAAGGCTCCTTCCCCTATGCTCCCAAATGCACCTTACACAATTTGCTGTTACAATAATTACATAATACTGTGACTTTGTATCCATACAAAAGTGGCACAAAGCAAGAGAAAGAATACAAGTTTGAAGCCAGTTCCTATTCCAGCTCTGTTGCTGCCTTTGAATTTGGTAAATTACCAACCTCTCCTTTCCTCAGCTCCCTCATTTACTTGTTTTTTTCGGTTCCCTCATTTGTAAAATGGGATAAAGATACATCCCTCATATGGTTGTAGAATTTAAATGAGAATACACAAGACATGCTTGGCATAGCTTCTGGTGAGGTACACTCTATAAATAATTACCTCTTATTCCCATATCTCCCCCTTAACAGTATCAATTCCCTTGAGAGCAGAGGTCTTGTTTCATCTTTGTAGCTCTTCTGAAAAAATAACTAACACAACTTAGCCTGCAGTATCCTGGTTAAGGTTTTGGGATCTTGAACCAGACTGCTTGGGTTCAAATCCTCACTCAACCACGTACTAGTTGTGTGACCTTTATCGAGTTACTATCTGTGTCTCAGCACCTTCATGGGTAAAGCAGGAAGAGTAACAGGGTCATGTGCATCAAATGGATTAACATATATAAACTACTTACAACAATGTTGAGCAAGTGCTATGAAATTTATGGTAAGCAGGAATAAAAACTCACTGAATGAATGACAGCGCAACTGTAACTTGAATATCCAGAACAGACTCTTAGTAGAGTTTTCCCCACTTTTCAAAAGTTCACGTAATGCCACTTCACTTTCACAAAAGACATTAGTACCTGTTTTCACTAACCAAAAGAAATCTGAAGATTTCTGCTTTTATGAGAAAAGGCAAAAACCGAAAACAGCCTTCAGCTTTGTTTTGCAGCAAGAAGTTACAGAGGCAGCGTGCATCCGAGAAGCAAGAAGCGAGAGCAGCACCACCAAGCTCCTTTCCCAGGAAGCACACTCAGCACCTCAGCATCAACCATCTCAGCTGCTATAGCTCTGAACTATGTGAGCATCAGTGCTTTATCTTGATTTTGTGCAGCTGTAAGATATGTCCTACGGTATCACGAAAGCCTAATCCAGAAACGCTCAAAAATTTTCCACATAAATTAGTGGTAATCACTTCTTCGTTTTACACCATTTCAGCCTACAAAAGTTCTCATAGGAACACTGCTTTTGGATGGTGGGGGGCGGGCAGGGGAAGGCTATATCAGAAAGTATGAAACATTTTTTATTTCTTGCCTACCATTTTCCAATATTCAAATGCAACATGGAAAACACCATACACTATTTGTTTAATTGGCTTTTCTATCATAGCCCACACTCTCAATTATGACAAAGATTATAGCCTATTCACCTTGAGTAGCATTAATATAAAACAAAGAGAACTGAGTCAGTCCCTCTCTACTTATATTTAAAATGTAAGCTGTTGGGATGCCTGGGTGGCTCAGTCGGTTAAGCGATTGCCTTCGGCTCAGGTCATGATCCCAGGGTCCTGGGATGGAGTCCCTCATTGAGCCCCCTGCTCAGCGGGGAGCCTGCTTCTCCCTCTGTCTGCCGCTCCCCCTGCTTGTGCTCTCTCTCTCTCTGACAAATAAATAAATAAATAAAATCTTTAAAAAAATAAAATGTAAGCTGCTAAGGGGATTTTCATTATCACAATTTTGATATTCAGAAAGAACATTCAACTCATAGCACAATATTTGTTAAATTTATATACAGACAAGGCATAATGGAAGAAAACTTGGATCTAGAATTTTTAAAAACTGGTTTTGTATCCCAACTTTGCCATGGGACCTTGGTGAAGTCCCTTGTTCCTTCAGGTCCAGTTTCCTCATCTGTGAAACAGAGATTCTTTATTTCAATTACTGAGCATGTAATCTTGTGCCAGTCATTGCACTAAGAACTGAGGATTCCAGACTCTGTATGAAAACAAAATTCATTGACCTGTAGATGCCATAGGAAAAGTGAAAGCAATATACAATAGAAAAAAAGGGAATGATTCATCTACCCGAGTGACCAACTGTTACACCATGTCTTAAAGAGGAGAAAAATTTTTGCCAAGTTGCCTATTTAGAATACCACAGACAGAAAAAATGGCATGTGCAAAGGCGAGAAAACAAAACTCAACAGAATATGACTTCGAGTAAATTGCAGATAGTTTGCAGGTAAATAGATTAGAAAAGGTGGGAAGGATGATCAATGATACTGAAGACAGAAACAAGGGCCAAAACATGGATAGTTTGGATGTTACACTAAAAAGTTCATGCTTTATCACACATGAGGAGACCGGGTCTTTAAAGGGAGAGATATCATCAGATCTGTAGAGCTACAATAGCATTTTTACACAGTGTTTTGCTGGGGACTGTGACTGAAGGAAAGAGGATGAGTAGGAAATTGTTATAAAAGTTCACCCCCCACCCCACATCCTGTAGCCACTACCTCAGATGCCTTCTCAGCACAGCACTCTAGGAAGACACGGAGTTGATGAATGAGACAAAACCTATTTGGCACCCCTGTCCTGGAATAATACTAATACTGCCTTTGAGATGATATGAGAAATAAAATATTACCATTATTATTTATTATTTTGTTATTATATTATTTGTATTTTTAGTATTATTAGTTTGCTTATACAGTAACTAGAGAGTATCATGCAAGAAAAAAAAATCATTCTTTGCCAAAACAACTAACCATGTCTCTATACTGATCTCCACAGATTTCCAATCTGGGTCCCTAAGGGTACCTAGATGATCTTTCTGAACATGTTTATCTTACTCTCCCACTTAAAATCCTGCAGTCTCTTCCCATTGCTCTCTTCCCACTGTGTCTTCCCATAGAGACCAAAATTCGTAACATGGTCCCAAAGTCCTGCATAATCTGGCCTCAAACTACCTACAGAGCCTCATCCTAGAAGCAGGATAACAGGCTTTGAAGTCTGACTACCTAGATTTGAATCTAGTCTGCCATTTATGAGCTGTGATCCCTGGGTGATCCCTGGTAAACTGCTTGACTTCTTTGTACTTTGGTTTCCTCATCTGTAAAATGGGGATAATAATATGGTTAGAATGGTGCCTGGCACAATCTAAGGACATATAAATATCAGTAAGTTAATATTTATAATGTCACAAGTTATTATGATATAATATATACTACATGTTGATATATAAATACTATTAGTGTTGTTACGATCAACATTACCATCATCACCATTTTCATACGTTTTCTGTTCCAGGCCCACTGGTCTTGCAGTTCTTCAAAAGAAACACCCATCTTTCCAATTCAGGGCTTTCCTATATGCTGATCCCTCTGTCTGGAACACTCTCTGTGTCTTTGCCCAGTCAATTCCTTCTTCATAATTCAGCTTAAACATCCTTCCCTCGGGGAAGCCTTCCTTACCCAGGCTCTGCTCCCAACCAAAACTAGGTCAGGGCGCCTGGGTGGCTCAGTTGGTTAAGCGACTGCTTTTGGCTCAGGTCACGATCCTGGAGTCCCTGGATCGAGTCCCGCATCGGGCTCTCTGCTTGGCAGGGAGCCTGCTTCTCCCTCTGACCCTCCCCCCTCTCAAGTGCTCTCTCTCTCTCATTCTGTCTGTCTCAAATAAATAAATAAAATCTTAAAAAAAAAAAAACTAGGTCAGATTCCCCACTTTAGGCTTTTCTTGCAGAGCACTTGTCATAGTCTGTAATTATATATATTATTTGATCAATTACTTGTGTAATGTCTATCTTCCCTACTAACCTATAAGCCCAATGAGTGGAGGGACTAAACTGACTCCTTGATCCCCTGGCATAGAACAGAACACAAATACTTACAGAATAAAAGGAAACTACTGTCAGATACAAGAAAATTAAAAAAAAAAAAAAAGTACCAAGTATAGAAAAATGGTAATACATATTACTTTCTTTTTACAAAAAGAAATATACAGTTACCAAGACCTTTTCTCATTTAAAGAGGAGAAAAACTGATTTACTCATATAATGGGGAAAAAACTGGGGTCGTTTTAACATACAAGCCAGAAACTGCCTAACTAAAAATCTGAATTCACCAGATAGAAAAGAATAAAAAAAAATTTTTTTAAATAAAATGAAATGCTTACTTGAGCATTGTCAGGTTCTTCTTTAATTTTGTCCAGAAGCCCCTGCTGTGGTGCCATTGCTTTGCCACATTCACCATCCAAAGGTTCTTTCATTCTAATTTTTTATGTAAAGGAATTCCCCAGTCTAAAACTAACAGAGTTCTTCTTGGTAAAGGATAGCTGGACTCCTAAAATACAACATAAAGGATTGGTACTCAGGTTTATTCTTTTTATTTTCTCCTTCATGTTTATCTATCTTAAAAGCTTTGTATTGAGCACAAGGCTTCAGAGTTGAGCCTTTGAAAATCAACTCTTCCGGGGCCATGACTAACTATACTCCCCTCTTCCTGCCTTCTGTTCCTTTAATAGTTATCTTCACATAAGAAAAGTCTTCCGGGGGCACCCAGGTGGATCAGTCAGTTAAGCACCCAACTCTTGAATTTGCTCATGATCTCAGGGTCCTGGGATAGAGCCCCACCAGGACTCCCAAGGGCTCAGGGCTGGGTGTGGAGACCTGCTCAAGAGTCTCTCTACCTACCTCTCTTCCCCTCCCTCTGTAAAAAAAAATAGATAAAATAAAATAAGAAAAGTCTTCTGGAAAAAGCTCCCACCTCCCTAATAACTTTAAAGACAAACACTCTGGTCTCTCAAACGGTGAAACTTACAGGGGGTACCAGACCAGCTGGGCAAGATGTGGGAAGAAGTCACCTAGCACTTAGGGGGAAGGGCTCAGAAATACAGTTTCTGACTCCGGGAGAATTAGTACTTGGAGGCCCACCTCAACTTTTATTTCTCAAAGTGGGGTACACCGAGCTCCCCACCCCCACCTCTAATTCAGCCTTTACTGGAGGCCTCCATAAGGGCCCCATTTCTTGGCCTAACGATAGATCAGAGCTCCAGATGCCACCACCAGTGAACAAGTACGCCCTTGTTTAAAGTGGACGACCTGAACTTTCTAGGGTCTCCCTGGGGGCCGTGCCCACGAATAAGCCCCTCTTGAGCTCTGCTTCTCAATCGCTTCCCTGTAAACAAGAAACTCTATTAGCCATCCAACAGATTTCCCTTCCCCTAAGAGTAAGCGTACTAAACCTGAAGCAAAAAGGAAGCTCCCCAAAGTTGTCCTTATCCGAATAGTCAAGCCAGGCAAGGAAATGGGCAACTGGTGCAAAAGCCTGTGGGAAGAAGAGATGAGAACTTCTGACCACTTGCCACAGTTACAACAATCTACGGGTGCTCATCCCTCCTTCGAGTACGGTATCGCTGCGAAAGTCTCGTCCCCACCAATAATCTCCGCGCCCGTCACCGAGTACAAACACGGCAACGTTGCATCTGATGGGGAGAACGCTAGTCGCAAATCCCTGTCACTGCGTCCCTGCGGCGAAATGCGCACGGCGTCAGCCGCGCAGCCCTCCCGGCGCCGCCCCCGCCCGGTGCCCGCCTCGTCACGTGGCGCGCCTGCCGCCCCGCCCCGCGCAGACCCTGCAGCCGCCATCCGCTGCGCTCACCTCCCGATTGCCTCCCTGCTCCCAGGGAGTACCGGGTGGGTAAGGAGGCCTAGGACCCAAGGCTCCCCACGCCGGGACGAGGATTATTTTCTCTTACTGGAATTCTTCCGCCTGATCCATCGCAAAGCAACACCAGGCCAACCGCGCGTGCGCAGCCCTGGTCTCCGCCCCTCCTTTTCCCGTCATGCTCTGGACCTGAGCTGAGTGGATCTTCCCAGGATTCCTCTTTCCTTAGTTATGGTTGACTTCTTAAAGAGACCAAGACACAAAGCTGAAAAGGTAGAAGAAGAGGTTTGGGGCAGAAAGTTGGGGGCATTAGATAGTCTGCACTATTCTTTAATTCCCATTTCCAGAAAAATAGCCAACTAAGGAACATACGAATAAATAATGGCTGACATTTATTAAGCCCTGTGCTTGCTAAACACTTGACATGCATCATTCCACTTAATCCTCACCACAACCCCAAGAGGTACAAATTTTTATCTCAGAGATGTAAATGACTAGATTAATTAACTTGTTCAAAGCCAAGATTTGGTATTTTTCACTCAGAATTGGTTTTTGATTTGTGACTGCTGTATAATATTCCATTTTATGAATATGCTACAATTTACTATCTACTATTGATGTACATTCGAGATATTTCCAAGTTTGGGCTATTAGAAATAATGCTGCTGTGAACCTTCCTATCTTTTGTTGCACATATGCTGGGTTTATACCTAGCAATGAACGTGCTTGTTATGTATATATAAAATTTAAGTGGATAATGTCAAGAACTTTCAGAAAGTGGTTTTTCAGTTGCACTCCCACCAGCCATCTATGAGAGATCCAATTGCCCCACATCCTTGCCAATAACTACCACTGTACATCTTTTTAATTTTAACCATTCTGGTAGGGGTATAGTGGTATCTCATTGTGGCATTTTTTGTTTTTTTGGGTTTTTAAAGATTTTATTTTAACGTAATCTCTATAGCCAACATGGGGCCCAAACTCACCACCCAGAAATCAAGAATCTCTCTCTCCAACGACTGAGCCAGCCAGTTGCCCCTCATTGTGGTTTTAATTTGGTTTTCCCAGATTTCTAATGAGATTGAGCCCATTTTTATGTTTTTGGATATCTGGATATACTCTTTTATGAAGTGCCTGTTCAAGTCTCTTACCCATTTTTGTATTGGATTGTCTGCCATTTTATTATGGACATATATTCTAGATATGAGTTCTTTGTTGTGTATATGATTGTAAATATCTTCTCCCACTCAGTGGCCAGGATTTTCCTTATTATTGGTGTCTTTAACAAACATAAAAGACCTTTATGCTTAGTGCTTCTTGTGTCCTGTTAAGAAATATTTTCCTACCAAAGGTCCTGATTAATTTCTGGGATTGTAATTACTTTGTCTTTCTCATTTAGCTCTTCAATCCACTTGAAGTGGGGATTTGTGTATCATGTGAGGTAAGTCAGGTTTCATTTTTTACATATGAATGTTAAATTAAGTACTATTTTTGAAAGTCTGTCCTTCCCCTATTGCTCTGTATTGTCACCTTTGCATAAATAAGTTGTCTATAAATGTGTGGATTTGTTTCAGGACTATGTAAACTATTCATTTTGTCTCTCTTTGTGGAAATATCACACTCTCTTAATTTCTGTGACAGCTTTACAGTAAATCTTGGTATCTGGTAGAAAAAAGTCTTCCTTCCCATTATGCTCTTCAAAATTGTCTTGGCTCTTCTTGGTCCTTTGCATATTCATATAAATTTTTTTTAAGATTTTATTTTTGGGATGCCTGGGTGGCTCAGTCATTAGGCGTCTGCCTTCAGCTCGGGTTGTGATCCCAGGGTCCTGAGATCAAGCTCCATATCAGGCTCTCCACTCCGCAGGAAGCCTGCTTCTCCCTCTCCCACTCCCCCTGCTTGTGTTCCCTCTCTCGCTGTGTCTCTGTCAAATAAATAAATAATATCTACACCCAATGTGGGGCTCTAACTCAGAACCCCGAGATCAAGAGTCACATGCTCCAGTGACTGAGCCAGCCAGGCACCCCCATATAAATTTTAGAATCTACTTGCCAAATGTAACCAAATTTTGCTCATATATTGTAGAATCAGCCAGAATTTTGTTTAGTATTGCACTGAAACTATAGACCTGTTTTGGAGAATTGGCATTTGTTATTCATTGTGTTGAATTGGGTCTCCCAAAAAGATATGGTGACCTCAGGAAATAACACTGTTGCAGATGTAATTAGTTTAGACATGGTCATATTGGAATAGGGCTGACCCTTAATCCAATATAACTCATGTCCTTATAAAAAGAGGAGATGTAGAGACAGGCACCTGTGGAAAGGACATCAGGTGACAATTGAGGCAGAAATTGAAGTACTGCAGCTGCAAGCCAAGGAATGCCAAGGATTAATGGCAAACACCAGAAGCTAGAAGAGGCAAGGAAGGATTCTCCCATTCACATTTCAGAGAGAAGAAAGCTCCGCTGATACCTTGATTTTAGACTTCAAGCCTCTAGAACTGTAAGACAATAAATTTCTGTTTGTAACACTTTCTTACAGCAGGCCCAGGAAACTAATATGGTTGAATCTTCCAATCCATGAAAATAGTATACCTCTCCATTTATTTCTGTAATTTCTCTTGATAATGTTTTATAGTTTTTAAATATAGAGATTGCATATCTTTTTTAGATTTATTCTAGATCTTTGATATCTTGTATTTTTTAAAAGATTTACCCATTTATTTGAGAGAGAGAGAGCAGGGGGAGGGGCAGAAGGAGAGACTCTCCAGGCAGACCCCCTGCTGAGCATGGAGCCCTATGCGGGGCTTGATCCCACGACTTATGAGACCTGAGCTGAAACCAAGAGTCAGACACCCAACCGACTGAGTCCCCCAGGTGCCCCTTTTATGGTATTTTAAAGGGTAAAATTTCATTTTCTAATTGTTTATTTCCAGTATAAATATAGAAATATAATTGACTTTTGTATGTTGGTTTTGAAGCCAGCACCCTTGCTAAATTCATTTATTAATTCTAATAGTTTATCCGTATTTGTAAAAATTTTCTAAGTTTTCGGCTGTATAGAGAATAATGACAAATTTATCTCTTCCTTTCTAAGCATATAATTTTTATCCCATTTTCTTGCCTTAATGGAAATGGTGATATTGGGCATCTGTATCTACTTCCTGCTGTGTTGTTTTCAATATAAAATCATTAAATATTAAATTTGCTTTAGAATATTTGCAGTCACCTGTGGGGGATTAAATATGGCAAATTCTTTGCAACTTCTTTCATTAAGAGAGGGAGTCTTTTTCCTTATCCCTTGTTTCTTGGCTGGCCTTATGATTTATTTTTATTATTAGAATGTGACAGAAGTGATATCCTGTAAATTCCCAAACATAGGTCTCAATAGTTTTTGCAGCTTCTGCTTTGACTTTCTTAGAACACTCTCACCATTAGATGGGTTAAACTACTAAATGATGAAAAATCACGTGCAGAAAGTAGCCCTATAGCCAGCACCAAGGCCCCATACGTATGAGTGGAACCATTTTAGATCCTCCAGATTGATAGATGACTGCAGCCTCATGAGTGAGCCCAGTCAAGATAAGCAGAAGAATTACCCAGCTAAGCCCAAATTATAGAGTCATGAATGAATAAACGGTTCTTATCATAAGCTAGTAAGTTTGGGGTGCTTTTTTATTTAGCAGTAGATAACTGTTACAGAATTGATATCTAAAAATGGAGTACTGCCATAACTAAAATCTAAAACATGTGACATTGACTTTGGGACCAGGCAGCCAGCAGAGTCTGGAAAGACAAGAAGTCTGTTAGTGGAGGCCGGAAGAGCAGTGAGGAAATTGTTATTGGAGGCTGGAGGAAGACTAACCAGTGTAATGCAGTGGCAAAATATTTTGCAGCACTTCCACCTATAAAAACATGGAAAATAGAAAATGTAATTAGTGAACTTGTAGATCTGGCTTAGGAGATTTCTGGGCAGAATATATAAAGTGCTTATTGATTTATTTTACTCACCTTTGATAAGGCTTTGCAAAAGATAAACAAGTTAAAGAAGGAACTTTTGTTTTCAAGCAGAAATTAGACAAAATATGGAGGGTCCAAGTCTCTCCAGCTAGCAAAATATCATCAAAATAAGAAACAAATCTCAGAAGAAAAATCACATATAGGACATTACAGGTAAAATGTGGCCTTAGGTCAAGATCAACTCAAGAGTGCAGCTGTAAGACCTCAAAAGGAGTTAAACAGTGCCTCATAGACCCTCTCATCTAGACAGAAGGGCTTCTAAGAAACAAGGGCATTGTCCCATAGCAATCTGACACACCCAGAGTAGAGAGAGTTCTGTCTCAGAAAGAAGAATGGAGGTGGTGGGGCGCCTGGATGGCTCAGTCGTTAAGTGTCTGCCTTTGGCTCAGGTCATGATCCCAGGGTCCTGGGATCAAGCCCCACATCGTACTCCCTGCTCAGCAGAAAGCCTGTTTCTCCCTCTCCTAATCCCCCTGCTTTGTATTCCCTCTCTCACTGTGTCTCTCTGTGTCAAATAAATAAATAAAATCTTTAAAAAAAAAGAATGGAGGTGGTTTGGGGGTCACAGAGTGAATCCCAGTAAGATCCATGAAGTTTGTATGTATTGTATGGTGACTAATATAACATAATAAAATTAAATTTAAAAAAAAAAAGATCCACGAAGTTTTTAAGGGACGTATTTGGGCAAAACCAAAACCTTAGACTATAAGGATTACTGACAGTTTGAAATGAAAAAGATCCTTATAGAAGCTGAGAAATCTACTCAGCTGCAAATGTGGATCATTTCTTACAGAAAATGAAGGTTTCTCAGGGGAGAAAGCCATGAGCCCCGAGGGAAGAAGCAAAAGCCTCTGGAGAAAATTAATT